ATTGATAGAAATGGGTTAACGTAAGATGTAAGAGATGGCTAGAAATACAATAGAGTCATTGGCAAAACAGTGTTTTAATTAATACAGTTTCTGTGTGATTATTCAGGCCTGAGCAGTTGGGACATGAACGAGAAAGTCTCTGCTTACAAATAGCACCTAATGTGGGGCACAAACCCATGGTCCTGAGAGTACACTGATCTCTCTCATATTGTTGATCCTTTGGCCAGTTTTTAGTTTTATTTTGTCATTTACACATGCAACAACTGTGATTTTTCTCTGGAAATTTTGTTCTTTCTTAAATATTTCCCCCTAAGAATCAGCAGAGGGCTAATATTTCTCAAATCTTTTATTTGGAATTACTAAGTACACTACCTAATCCTGGGAACTTTTCTGACTCAATAGAGACAGGTACATATGAGAAAACAACACTTGGAGCATTAACCGTGTCTCACAGTTCTGGAAAGGAGAATAGGACACACACAGACAGAATGGGGAAAAGCCTCAGGAGTACACACAATGCCAACTGTTGAGAGTAGCTTCGCTGGACACTAAGCAGATAGAATCAATGATAGGATCTAGAATGATCCAATGGGAAAAATGCAATGAAAAATATGGGATGGAGAGATTCATCTTTACCATACACAGGAGCTCATATTGGTGGGAGAAGTATGGTCTAGTGGATGGGAAAGAATGCCTTATCAAAGTCCGCCTTTACAGAGAGACGGAGACATGGACCCTCTTGTAGGAAAGGGAGCGGTATAAAAGCACATCTTACAGACATGAAGGACTTTGGGGGCTTGAATATTCTTGTCCTTAAAGCATTGACCCACGTCTGCTACCTTTTCACTTTGTAACTGCACATAGCTCCCAGCTGATATAAGCACTGTGAGAGCAGGGTGTGTCTGGCTCCATATTTAGTTAATGATGCAAAAATACTGACCTCTATGTCTAGAATAAGATTATGTAGGGGGTGGGAAAGTGTATTTGAGGAAGCATGAAGAGGAACAATTGGGGTTTTCACAACGATTATAGTGTATTTCTTAAAAGTAAAAAATAGGAGCCAATAATAAAGCTATTTATGTAAGCCTGGTAGAAAAAAAACTCTGTTAAAGTATAAATAAAGATGGCTAGAGATATTCAGGCCACTAGTGTGCAATCCACCTGGTGGTCAGAATTTTTCCTTGTATGAGTGCCCAGTCCCCATCTCAGGACCTGACCCTGAGCTGAAGCCAGACCCCAGCACTGGCTGCCCTTCCAGAGGACCCAGGTTCAATTCCCAGCACCCCCATGCCACCTCACAACTGCTGGTACTCCAGTTCCAGGGTATCCAGTGCACCCTATGGCCTCATGTGCTACACATACTTACATGCAGACACTCACACGTACAATTAAAATAAAAGTAAAGCTTGGTGTGATGGTGCATTTCTTTAACCTCAGCAGCTGGGAGTCAAAAGCGGACAGATCTCTGAGTTGGAGGCCAGTTTAGTATACACAGAGAGTTCTAGGCCAGCCAGGGTTACATAGTAAGACAGTGTCTTAGAAAAATGTTTGTAAAATTAAAAAAAATTATGTATATGGATATGTGCACATGAATGCAGGTACCTGCAACATCCAGATGAGGACATCAGATCCTCTGGAGCCTGAGTTTGCAGGTGGGAGCCAAACTCGGTCCTCTGTGGCAAGAGCGGGATACTCTGAGCTGCTTTATCTCCAGCCTCTTTGAAGTTTCTATTAAAATCTAAAGTTCATGTCAGAGCCCCAGAGATGACCCTGGTGCTCAGACTTTGGTAAGTGGCTACACTAAGCAGGTTTTCCACGTCTCACTACTGTCTCTTTAAACTGGGTTTGGGTGAGTGGCTGAGTGTAGATTATTGGGGTTGTGAAAGCCAGGACTTTTGCTTTAAATTTTCGTGGCAGTGTTTTTTTTTTTTTTTTTTTTTTTTTTTAATTCTCAGTATTCTGTCTGAGTGTACGCCTGCAGGCCAGAAGAGGGCACCAGATGATTGTGAGCCACCATGTGGTTGCTGGGAATTGAATCAGGACCTTTGGGAGAGCAGGCAATGCTCTTAACTGAGCCATCTCTCCAGCCCTTGCTTTGAATTTTCTATTACAGTATGAACTAAACGGAACCAACACTAACTTAAGACTTTCAGTATATGTGAGCAGCAACTTATAAACCAATTTGGTACCATATACAGGACATGGCAAACACGAGCACACATGTAGACAGTGCTTAAACACCTGCAGACTACATAAAGTTGGACCAAGGGATTTTTGTAGCCTTTCATTTAGTTTTCATTTGTTAATTTTAAGTTATTTCTGTTAATCTGATTATTTTCTCCATAGCATTAAGTAATACTTATTCAAAAATCTGCATATCCAAAGATCTGACTATTAGAAATACGGTAGATTTTAGGACATTTTAAAGTTAAAAAAGTTTTATTTTTTAAATGTGTGTGGATGGTTTTGCTGAACGTATGCCATTTGCATGACAAGGCCATAAGAAGGCGTTGGATCCCTTGATTTGGAGTTATGTACAGTTGTGAGCTGCCATGTGGGTGCTGGGAACTGAACCTGGGTCCTCTGGAAGGACTCTTAATCCCCGAGCCTCTCCCCAGTTTCCATTTTCACCTTGTGAATTGTGACAGAATGAAAAAAGGAAAGGAAAGGTCATGGCTGCTCCTAGGTCTGGAGGAGAAGGTTGAGTGTGGATCAAAAGGAGAGCATAGGTAGGGACAGGGACATCTGGGAGAGTCAGGCTGAGCTGGGCCATGTGGGGAGCAGGGGAGGGGAAGGGAGAAAGGAGAGAGGGGAACCAGGTGTAGCAGCCAGGAGACCAAAGGTACAAAAGGGGTGGGTCACCAAAATGTCTGGACTCTATAGAAAGGAGTCTCTGTGGGAAGGGCAGCCCAGACCCTGGGTTGGAGAGCTCCCGGGAGAGGCCAGCCACACCCTCTAACAGGTAGGGACTGAGGGATGCTGGGAGAATCTAGAGGCTTGGTCCCCTGTGATATGTTAAATAGGCACCTTGGGCTTTTGTTTGAAACTTAATAGAGATGTGTACTCCTCCCTAGTAGTAGAAGGGGTAAGAGTTAAGACATTTACAAAAGTTAAGAAAATTCAGCATGTTTTTCTAAAAGTCATTCTGCAACCCAATTGTGCTATCCACAAGCCAACTAAAGAATCGACAGGAGACATTGATTTCTGGTGCACTCAAGGTCCTAACAGAAGGCAGGCAAAGTCAAATCCTGAACTCTGCATTTAAGATTCTGCTCCTTTCTGCCGGCCTGGCGGTGGTGGTACAGGCTTTTAATCCAGCAGGTGGATTTCAGTGAGTTCATAGGCCAGCCTGGGCTACAAAGGGGCTTCCAGGCCAGTCAGGCCAGGCCAGGCCAGGCCAGAGAGGACTTAAACAGATAAACTCTGTCTCACACAGAGAAACCCTGTCTTGAAAAACCAACCAGCCAACCAACCAACCAACCAAAAAGATGGCCCTCCTTTGAACAACCATTATTGCCCCTGAGGTAATTGCAAACCTTGGAGTATAATTGAAGGTAGGTGTTTTCAACTTTTTCTCAGCAGCAGAGAAGTTTTTTTTTAATTTTTTTTTTGACACCTGTATGCTACCTCTCCAGCTCCATTTTCCTCACAGTTATTATCACCTGCGCTGGGGAAGCAAGTCTGTGGTATGCTCCTGTATTTGGTCAATACTAGTGTGGAGCCTGCCCGTTTTAGATACTTCTAGAAGACAGTTTGCTCACTCCATTGCTTATTAACTTAAGGGATTGACTTCATTGGATCCATTGTGTGTATGTGTGTAGTTTATGGACAGACTTCGGCAAGAAAGAGAGGGCAGGAAATGGTGACCGGGTCACAAACCCAGGGAAGTCTGTTCTGAGCTTTCTGGCTTTGATTCAAGATATATTTACTATGCCGTCTCCATCTTCTTTTTTAAAAGATTTATTTTATTTTATATGTATTACGTGTGTAGGAATGTGCGTGTGCGTGTAGTGTTCTTGAAAACCAGAAAAGGGTGGCAGATCTCGTGAAGCTGTCGTGAGATCCCGAAAGTCGGTGCTAGAACAGACTCAGGTCCTCTACAAGTGTGGGATTTGCTCTTCAACTGCTGAACCATCTCCACCTATCTTCATTCTTTTCCCCTCCCTCCATTCACCCCATCTCGCGCCACGCTTCTGTCTCAGCCTCCAAGTGTTGGGGTTACAGGCACAGAGGAAGTGCTGGTACCAGGCGACCCTCCCTCCGGGAACCCCGTGGGGTTTGCCTTAAGAGTCTAACCTACGCGGAAGGTGAATGTGGTGATGAGCCCAGGTCGTGGACTACAACTCCCAGCACGCCCCGCGAACCGCCGAGTCAAGTCTCGCGCGACGTGCTGCGGTATCGGGCTGGGCTGTGCTTCGGCTGCCGGCCGTCGGCAGTGCTCAGTGAAGAGTGAGTCGCGCGCTCACCATGGCTCTTCTCTGCTCAGCTCCGCAGCCCCTTGGGCCATCTGGAGCCTCGGAGCCTCTTTAGTGCCGCAGTTC